ACATGGAAAAGCATCTGATGAAAGAGCTCCCCAGGCCAAAGAATGGCCTCAAAAAGAGAGGAAATTGGTGTGTACAAGAAAGATCAATGAGGTCAATATGGCAGGGAGGGAAGGGAAAGTCATGGGAGCCGGGATGGACCCAGCATACCAGAGAGACTCAGGACAGGCAACACTGGAAAACATTTCAGCAAATGAATCTCCACAAAACTCACCTTGAAACTTTGTTATWGGTTATTCAGAAGTAGAACTAGTTKGAACCTTTAAGCAATGGTTGGGTCTTTCGGGCTCTGCTGTCTTGAATGGATTCATGGATTTATGGGTTATTGAGGGATTGGCTTTGTTGTCAAAGTGACCTCTCTCTGACACACTTGTTCCGCCTTTCCTTGTGATACTTTAGGCCACACTRCAGAGAGCCCCGTCAGCAGAACGACCCTTGCAAGATGGGGCCCCTTGGTCAGGAACTTCTCAGCCTCYGGATCTGTAAGGAATACATTTATTTTCTTTATAAAATCTACTAGAATTTTTGMTAGGACAACATAAAGCTGACCAAGACAGCCAACTTACATTCTGAAAAAGTTCCCTGTGGGTATTGTAAAGAGAGTGAAGTGAATGGGCCAAAAGTGGCAAAAAGAGAGTCTCGTTAGGACACATTTTATTTACTTTTTTTTTTCTTATTGTTTTCCAACAATTCAAACAAGAGCAGACAGCTTGGACTAGAGTAGAAGAGGTGAAGTAATGAGAAGTGATTACATGTAGGATATGTTTGAAATTTACAGTCCACTGTATTTCCAATGTCTTGGAATTGGGGTGGGAGAGGAGATAACATATGAGCAACTAAGCACACAGTGGTGCCAGTTAGGGAGCTAGGTAAAGGGGTAGTAGAAGAAGGTGGGGGGGGCCCATGAGTCTGACTTGGGGCATGTTAAGTTTGGGATGCCAATTAGTCATCCAACTCATGTTGGTTACATGAGTCTGAATTCAAGGACAGTTTGGAGGCCTCTGCTAGGCAGAATAGCTACCTCCCAAAGATGTCTACATCCTAATCCCCAGAATCCGTGAGTATGTTATTTTTACAGGGCAAGGGAAAATTAAGGAAGCAGATGGAACAGAAATTGCAGAATAGATGATATAAAGAGGATTACCTGAATGAGCACAGTGGGATCATAAAGGACCTTGAATGGGGAGGAGGAAGGCAGAGGACTCAAGACCAGAGAGAGGGCAGTGTGAGAATACTGGCCTTGAAGATGGTGGAAACTGTTTTTTAACTTGGTGATGAAGCCAGAAGTCTAGAAACTAGAAAAGATAAGAAAATAAGATTCCTCCTGTTAGCCTCCAGAAAAGAACACAGCCCTGTCAACACCTTGAATTTAGCTCAGTGAGACTCATTTCAGACCTCTCTAGCATAATTTGTTATTTTAAGCACCTGCATTTGAGGCAATTTGTTACAGCAGCAATAGGAAAATAAAGCAAGGCACTGAATCTTGTTTTTTCTTCAGTGCACCCTATCTTGGTAAATAGCATAAACCTCACCTACTTATGCAAGGCAGAAATACGTGCATCCAGTGGAATATTACTTGGCCATAAAGAATGACTTTATGACATCTGCAAGTAAGTTGAAGGATCCTGAGACTATCATGCTAAGTGAAATAAGACAGTTCCCAAAAGCCAAAGGTTGAATGTTTTAACTGATATATGAAAGCTAACCCACAATAAAGCAGGGAGGGCATGAAGAGTAGATATTCAGTAGATTAGACAAAGGGGAATGAAGGGAAGTGAGGGGGTATAGGGAAATAAAAGAAAGTGGAATAATCCAAAATAATTTTCCTATGTACATATATTAATACGTCATCATGAATCCCACTATTATGTAGAGCCATAAGAATGAGATCCTAATTAGAATATTAGATCCTAATTAGAGATATTTCATGCTTGCATAATTACATCAAAATGACTTCTACTGTCATGTGTAACTAAAAATAATGAATAAAATAAAAACAGTGTAATGGTCAATCTGAATTGTCAACTTGATTGGATTAAGAGATGCAAATGATTAAGAGGCTTATAGGTGTATCCATGTGGGTGTGTCTAGGAATGATTGGCACGTGGGATAGCCAACTGAATTGGAGACTCTCCCTAAGCGCGGGCAGCACTGTCCAATAGGATTATGGCTTGGATGGAATAAAGGTTGGAATAACAAGAAAGCAGCAACAGATGCAAGCTAGATTCTTCTCCAATAGGTTCTTAATTGCTGTTCTGATCATCTGAGGATATCGAACTCTCTCGCTTCTTCACTCTTCCAAAGCAGACTCTGTCAGTGATTCTCCAGGGAGTTTCCAGAAGCCTTTATTCTCAGACTAGGGCAGCAATCCTGATCTCTCTTGTTCTGGGGCTTCAGCCTCTTGGACTGCGCAGCTTATGGTTCTTCCAGCTCTCCAGCCTGAAGACAGCCACTATGGACTACCCAGCTTCTGATCCTGTAAGCCAAGCTAATAAGTCCCCTTTTTATAATTATACTTCCTGTTGATTCTGTTCCTCTAGAGAACTCTAATACAGAAAAAGAAAAAAAAATGTAGAAGATAATTTTAAAATGCTATCTAAATAAAAAATAATTATCTCCCACTTTAGTTACACCATGCCCGACTGAATTGTCAAAAAGTGAAAATACAAAGTACAGCTAGGAGAGGGGGTGTAAAAACCAGTAATCCCAGTGAAGTGGGGGGGGGGGCTAAGGCAGGAAGATCTCAAGTTCAAAGCCAGCCTCAGCAACTTAGCAAGGCCCTAAGCAATTCTGTGAGACCCTGTCTCTAAATAAAATATAAAAAAGGGCTGCAGATGTGGCTCAGTGATTATGCACTCTTGAGTTCAATCCCTGATACAAAATATATATGTATTATTTTATTTATAAATTTACGTATATAGACAAAGTACATCTACTGAGAGGACAATAATAGGAAAGAATTAAGGATGAATTCAATATAAGAATGTGCTTTTCTTAAAAAATATATATATATATATATATATATATATATATATATATATATATATATATATAATATATATATCCTTGATTTTTTCCTTTCCTCATGCTCCCAATGGAGTCAACATGGAGTCCTCTAGATTGTACTAAGTGTTTATTCGTGGTTACCCACAGTGCCACTTCTCTGATTCAGATCATGGTGGTCAACATCGGCCCTCTTTCGCAGGAAGGAAGGAAACAGTACACACCACTATCCATTCTCTGTTTAGCAGCCAGAATAAGTCTTCTAAATTGAATATTGCGGGTAATTATTCCTTCCTTCTTGGGACTCTTCAATGGCTTGCAGTTTCACTCAGAATAAAGTCCAGACTGCTTGCTGTGATTTAGAAGATCCTCCCAGCTTTGCCAGCCCTTAGCTATATTTCCTACCCCTCTGTCCTATCGCTAAACTTTCAGATTCTGTACAGTATAGGGAAAGCTCTTTACCTCTAAGGTTGCTGGCACCAGCCTTCCTTTTCCCCAGTCCCTACAAAGGAAAAACTCCAAACCCATTGTTCAGCACCCCTCCTCTGTCTACAGTCAAGCCCCAACTTACTCCCTTCATGTTAGTCCTAATATCCTAAATTGTTAGCACCCTTGTATGAAGACCAATTCTTTAAGGATAGTAGAAGGAGATGGTCATCATTATACAAAATTCATGTATGAAGATGGGAATTTGGTGTCAACATACCTTTTATACAAACAGAGATTTGATAAATTGTGGTATAAAGGTGTTTTAAGAATTGTGATGCAAAAAAAAAATTATGAATGTAATGCACTCCACTTTTGTCATGTAAGAAATAATAAAAAAGGACCAATTCTTTAAAACATCACAGCCGCCCCCCCCCCCATTTGAAATTTCACTTTGTACAGTTTTAGATATCCAAGGTCAATCGTGTTTCAAAAATATTAAATGAGGGCTGGGGACATAGCTCAGTTGGTAGAGTGCTTGCCTTGCACGCACAAGGTCTTGGGTTAAATCTCCGGCACCACCAAAAAATATTAAATGAAAAATTCCAGAAATAAACAATTCTTAACCTCTAAATAATTTAATCACAGTATATTGTAATAATTTTTTTTTTGGTAGTGGTAGTGGTGGTGGGGGGGTGTTGATATCAGGGATTGAATTCAGGGGAGTTGGACCACTGAGCCAAGTCCCCAGCCCTATTTAGTATTTTATTTAGAGACAGGGTCTCACTGAGTTGCTCAAAGCCCCGTTTTTTGCAGAGGCTGGCTTTGAACTCGCGATACTCTTGCCTCAGCCTCTGAAGCTGCTGGGATTACAGGCTGGGCCACCGCACCCAGCATACTATTATTCTATTAGTTTTTGTTACCAATCTCTTACTACGACTAACAAATTATATTTTATCATATACATTAAGGTATAGAAAATAGTTCAGTATATTGGGTCAGATCTGTAGTTCAAGGCATCTGGGTGTCTTAGAATTATCCACGTACAATAAAAGGGAACTACTATAGTAAATATTAGAGGCAGAAAGGAGAGTGAGTGCTTATCGTGCTCAGTTTTACTTTGATTGGTCCCGGGACCAAAAGGAATCAGACAGGTCGATACCATGTCACTGAGAAGAACAGAAATTTTGTTCCAGTTGAAGGTTGCCAATACATGCTACAGGCAGTTAACAAGTACTTTAGCCATTTTGCGCCCACCTCCTAGCTGCAAAATGACAATAATACTACAAACCTCATCGGTTTGTTATGAGAAAATGCTGAGCAAGGAACCCAACATTAACTGAAAGATCGCTCTCAATTAAAACAAAGGCCTGACTCCAGGTAAGATCTGTGGGCAAGTCTACCCCACCTCCACCACGAGTACCGCCCCCTTTGCCAGAGAGCTACTAGTGATTGGCTACTTAACCCTTCCGTCTCGCTCGCCCCGGCGTACGGTCCAATCCCGACCGGTTGCTCATGGAGACAGATTCCCAGGCTTTCTGATTGGGCGGTGTGCCTGTGACGTTTTTACGACGTATTGCGTCACCGTGGGCGGAAGTGGCGCCGGTTGTTTTGAAATCGGCTGGCCCGGGGCTTTCGAGTTCCTTCCCACGTAAAGGACCGCCGTGTCCTAATTCCGGGCGGGTCCCCTGACACCTGCCTTTGTGCTCCTGCAGGCCGGGGGTCGCAGCCGCGCCATGTCCACTCCTCCGTTGGCCGCATCGGGGATGGCGCCGGGGCCCTTCGCCGGACCCCAGGCTCAGCAGGCCGCCCGGGAGGTCAACACGGCGTCGCTCTGCAGGATCGGGCAGGAGACTGTACAGGACATCGTGTACCGCACGATGGAGATCTTCCAGCTCCTCAGGAACATGCAGGTGGGCGTGCGACACGGGCAGCTAGCKGGGTGCTTCTGAGAGTGAAAGGCTGGGCGTCAGTGGCGCTGCCCTGGGCAAACCTCAAGTGTAGGTCACCCCGTGTACACCCAGAAATGTCCCCCAAGCATGTGCCAGCCCCCAAATATCTGTAGGGGTGATGTTTTCCAGACCAGATTGCTCTACGATCGAAGCCACATTTTCTAGATTCGACTGAGTTCTCTGTGTAAATCCCATACCTTTCAAGACACGGTGGGTCGCACTTCACTTCCCTTTTCAGATTATTCGAAAATTTTTTCCAGCAGAAATTTTCCTGAGGAGAGGAGGGCAGTTGAAGGAGTTGAAGAATTCACATTTTGCTAAACAACAAAAAAAGCCCCTTCCTTTTCTTGGCACAACTAATATACAATAAAACTATGTTCATTTAAATGAATGGACTTGTGAAACCGCCCCACAGTCAAAATAGTGAACCTATCACCCCCTAAAAGTTACCTCGTGCCTCTGAAATCTTTGCCTCCCATTCTCCTTCGGAGTAACCACCATTTTCTGAAATTTGTGTTTTCTAGAGTTATATAAATGAAATCATACTGTATGTAGGCTTCTTTTGTCTGGGTCTTTGCCTCAGCGTTCATCAATAAGTCATTCTTTTTTATCGCCAAGTAGTGGTCTATTGTATGAATATGTCACAGTTAGTTCATCTGTTGATGGACATTTGGGTTATTTCCACCTGGGGGCCATTGTAAATAATGCTGCTATGAATGTTTGCTTACAAACCTTTGTGTGCACATGTTACACTTTTTCCTGAATGGATATTTTAGGGGTGTAACTGCAGGATCATAGGTAATATCTCTGTTTAWCATCTTAAAAATTTTTCCAAAATAGCTGACCTATTTATATTTCAATTTGCACCTTTCAAGCGTCCTAGTTACTCCTTATCCTCATCTGCACTTATTGTTATATATCTTTTTTGCTTTGCAGATACTTCTACCAGTGTGTGGCTCCTCTTTTCATTCTCTTCATATTATCTTTCAAAGAACAGACATTTTTAATTTTGATGGAATTTAACTTGTTGATTTGTTCTTTTCAGAGCTTGGTTTTGGTGTCATACCTAGGAAATTTTTACCTAGCCCAAAGTGACAAATATTTTTCCAATGCTTTCTTCCAGAAGTTTTGTAGTTCTAGTTTTCATATTTAGGTTTATAACCTATATTAAGTTAATTTTGGGGGGAAGATTATAGTAATAAGTATGAGTCTAAATCCATTGTTTTCCTTTTAGGTATCAAATTGATCTAGCACCTTTTGGATAACTGGGTAACTTTTTTTAAATTTTTTGCCTTGCCAGATATTGAACCTAATCTAGCAAGTGCTCTACCACTGAGCTACATCCCCAGCCCTGGCTGATCCATTTTTTAATGCTTGCTTATCTACATGCTATGAGATGCAGATTTCTTGTTTGACAGATGAAGATACTGTAGTTAAGAGAGTTAAAGTGGAATACCCAGAGCTAGTCAGTGGTAAATTTGAAGCCAGGTTTTCAGATTAAAAAAGTTTTATTTCTATGAGTGCCTAACACATATTTTATTGCCTTCTTTTTTTAAGTGTAGGAGTTTTTCTCCTGATTTTATGAGTAACTCTGTTTTGTGAAAATTTACTTTACCTTTACCACTGAGCTACACCCCAGTCCTTTGTATTTTTTTAGTTTGAARCAGGGCCTCACTAAGTTGCTGGGGCTGGCCTCAAATTTCCTATTCTCCTGCCTCAGCCTCCCCAGTCACTGGGATTAGAGGCATTGTGCCATTGTGCCCAGCTTTGTGGAAGTCTAAGACCATTATCAATAAGTCAGTGTGAAATATAATACAAAGAAAATTCAAGAGAAGATCAAAACTCTTTAGCAGTTATTTTAAAAATAAAAAGATTTGTATCTAAAATGGGGAAGATGTGAATTAAATGATGTCTTAGAGTTTAACATATAATGTATTTTTTGATTTTTAACCTGCTGTATGTAAAGTACTAAATTAGGGCTGGGAGAGGAAATAGCTATCATCTATCAAGTCCTTTTCTTGGTGAAATATACAGTTGTAGAGACATTTTCAAGAAATATTTTTATCCCTATTTAACAGTTAAGGGAAATGAGCTTTGAAGAGAGAAGTAACTTCCTGTTAACTTCCTTATATTATAAATTTGCTATCAAATTGTCTATATTATTAAAAGAGATACAATGCAGGTCATGCCCACATAGAACTAAACTCTTTCAAAATGTGTTATCAATTACTATTCCATGTGGATCTRTATTCAAAGCTAATTGGTAGGGGGCTAGGATAGTTATTTACATGGTCTAACTTACCTGAGGCCCTGTGGGGCACATTGCAGTTGACCAAAAAGGTAACAACAGTGTGCCCCTTCCTTTCGAAAACACTGTAAGAAGAGGTAAAAGGATGCTCTTAACTGCATATCATCTGGTTATTCTTTAATGCAGTGGCTCCCTCGTCAACATTTTGAGTTATCCATGGTCAACCATCATCCGAAAATGTTAACTAGGCCTTTTGAGAAAGAGAGGGAGGGTTAGCTTTCCTTTTTTGTGACAAAATTCCTGAGAAAATCAATTTAGGAGGAAAGAGATTTATCTTGGCTCACAGTGTGAGAGGTTTCAGTCCATGTTACTTTCAGTCCATTGATTCTGGGCCTGTGGTGAGGTAGACCCTCATGGCAGGGAGCATGTATTTGAGAATAGTTGCTCAGTTCATTGCAGCCAGGAAGCAAAGAGAATACACAAGAGAGGAAGGCAACAAAATATACCCTTCCCCAGTCCACCCTCCTGACCTACTTCCTCCAGATAGACCCCCACCTCTAAAGGTTGTGCCACTTACTAATAGTGCCACAGCTTGGCAACCTAGGTTTTAGCAGGTAACCTTTTGGGGACATTTAGATCCATACCATAACAGAAACCACATTTTCATGATATTTATAACAATATATTGTTATAATTGTTTTATTTTACTTGTTTTTCATGTACTGTGCCTGATTTTTTAAATTAAATTTTCTCACTGTTTGTATATGTAAGAAAAACTAGTATATATATATAGAATTCTGTACTATCGCTAGTTTCAGGCATCCATTGGGGATTTTTGGAAAGTATTCCTCTCTGAGAAGAAAGAACTACATTTTTTTAACCATTTAGATTTGAAATCATCCTCTGTATTATTAATCCATAAAGTTAGAGTTGTGAAGTACAAACTGCTAATGTTATTTCCAAGCATTTATTTTAGAGAAATGGTTTTTTAGATGTTAGGTGTCTGTTTTCTGCTTAAGAGTCTGATGAAAACCATGGACTGAGTCTTCTAAGAAAAATGCAAAAGCACATTTTGAAAATAAGTTTGAGGAGTTAAAGAATATATCCCCAATTATCCCTAAATCCCTGATTAAGATTCCCTGTGAAAAAATGGCATTGCTTTGGTTCTGTTTATTATCCTATAAATCTCTTATTTTATTTTTGGCATACATAATACATTCAGAATTCAGAAGTAAAACAGAATGTTTTCCCTCCCATTTCTATTAACTTGGTACCTAATCCATCTCTGCTGGCAGTGGTTGTTAACAATGCTTACTACTAATTTTATGTATCCTTCCAGATATATTTTGCATATTTAAGCAAATGTGTATATATATTTTTCATTTTCCCCTTTTGCACTGATAGTAGTATATTATACATATTTTGTACCTTGTTTTTTACATTGAGTGTATCTTGATACTTATTCATGTCTGTACAGAAAGGTCTCCCTTTTGCTTTTTGTAGTATATGTTGTTCTGCTGCATGGAAATCCTATAATTTATTAAAACTTTTCTCTAGTGAGACCATTTATACTGCTTTTAATTTCTCACTGTTAGGCTGTAGCAAATCATCTCCTACACAAATGTGAAAGTCTGATTTAGGATACATTTTTTAAATAGCTGTTTGCTTATGTAATTAGGTAAGTTTTGATGAATTGTCCTCCACAGGGATTGTTCTAATTTATGAGACCATATCTTGACTAAGACCAGCACAGTACATTATTAGTTTTGGATCTTTGATCACTTGATAGATGCCGCAGTTTTTTACCTTATGTTTCTCCTAATTTGATTAAATTTGACTATTTCTTTATAAATGTACAAATCATTTATACTTTATTTTATGCTAAATGCTTATATAGGTTATATGTGTTATATATGTTATTTGCCCATTTTTTTCATCATTTTGTGGAACATCTTTTTTACCTTGTTCACAAGTTAGTAGGACTTATTTATTTGTTAGAGGAACTTGCTGTTTATGATATAACTTGCAAGCATATTTTTTCAGTCTTTTGATTTTTTTTGTTGTTTATTTATTTATTTATTTGCTCTGCCTATGGTAGTTTTTGCTATGCATGCTTTTTAAAAAAATGAATTTATTTATCTTTAAGGGTGTCTAGATTCTATGACTAGTTAGGAAGGCCTTCCCTGCTTCAAAATTAGGGAGAGTTCTGGGGGTTTTTGTTTTAGTTTTTGCTTTTAAAACTTTGGTCATAATGGAATTTACCCTATTATAAAGTGAGGTATGGCCCTAGCATTACTTTTTTCAAAAGGCCGATGAATTCATTTTCCTCCTCCATCCATTCCCATGCTACTTTATACAAATGACTCCATTTTTGAATGTTCTTTTCCACATATCTGTCTGTCTTTTAAGGATTAAAGCCAAATTTTTAAAATATTTTTTGAGGCTTTGTTCTGTTTACACTTATTTTTAAAATTTTTTATTATTAAATTTTTGAGTTGTAGATGGACATGATACTTTTATTTTATTTTATTTATTTTTATGGTGCTGAGGATTGAACCTAGTGCCTCACACATGCAAGGCAAGCAGTCCACCACTGAGCTACAACTCCAGCCCTTCATTTATTTTTCAGAGTATTCCTGGCTCTTCCTGATTATTTAATTTTCTCTGTGTTAGAATGAACTTTAGTTCTAAGAAAAACCTATCAGTGTTTTCTTGAGATTTATTAAATCTAGAAAGATATCATTATGATGTTGAGTCTTAATAAACTAGCCAAAGGCATGGAATATCCTTTATTTCCCTAAGAAGTATGTTAAGTTTCATTTTTATTTTTATTGAAAGTTGTTCCTAGATCTTTTATCATTTTTGTCACCATTATTATGGCCATTTTCTTTGGGTTTATTTTTATAGGTAAAAGCAAAGCCATTTCTTTTTCTCTATTATTTTCGTACTCATACCCTTATTGAATTATTTTAATTTTTGTAGTCATTATCATTTCATTTATAAATAGTGACTATTATGCAGCTTCTTTTTTATTGTTTCAACCTCCCCCTTATGTTTTCTTCTCTGATTATATTGGCTACCGCCTCTAGAACAGTGTTCATTAGTAGTATTACTGGTCTTAGTAGACCTCCTTTTCTGTTCCAGACCTTAGCAGAATATTTCTGATATTTTCACATTAACCATGTGCGGAGTTTTTAACTGAGATGAATATATTTTATTATACTGAGGAGTCTTATTATGTTTTATATTTATTTTAAGTGTGGATATTGAATTTAGTTGAATGCTTTTTTAGTGTCTAGATGTATGATGATGTTTATCGCCATCTATCCAAGCTGGTGACCTATGCTGGGTTCACAAAATCTGACTATTCCAATAACTTAAGAAAACAGTGAAGAAAGCACACAAACACACAGAAGTACCTTTTCAAAATCAGGGGTGGCTCTGTGACCTTAGGGATTCGTGGAAAGAGAGAAAGCCCCTGGAATTCTTTATTCGTATACAGGGGACACACAAGGGGAGGTTCCATGGAACATTCTATCCCAAAAAGGGCAAAGGGGTAGGATTACAAAGGAACAAGTGGGTATAATTCAGCCCCATCTGGTGACGCCCACTCCTGAAGCCACACCTTCCTTATCTGAGCAGAGGTAAAGCCCAATGTATTGCAGGGTGCAATAACTGTTCAGTACCCCTTTACTCAGGACTTACAGGTGCTCACATGGCTTCTGTCCAGAGCAGCTCCTGACAGATGCTTTTATGTTTTTCATCCACAGTCATGAGTGAGATGATTATTGATGAGCTTTTCAGCTGAGGAGTGAGATCAAGGGATCTTCAAGGCTGTTACCATGTATGCTATGTAATATGGGAACCTCATTTCTATCATGTTGACTGCTACCCCAGTTTCTAAACAATACCTCACACATTTAAAGTATGCAGGGGACTGAGGCTATAGCTCAGTTGGTAGAGTGTTTGCCCTGCATGCACAAGGCCCTGGGTTCAATCCCCAGCACACACACACACACACACACACACACACACACACACAAAATAAAATAAAAAAGAATGAAGGAATTTTTTGAATCAATTTTTCCTTTCTTGAAGAAGCTGCTATAAAACTAGTTTCGAAATTGACTAAGTTAGGCAAATTGGAGGAGGATGATTCTTTGCATTTCTAAAGGATTGACAGATTTTATTAAGAGTTCTTTCATGACACACACTTCTCAATAAAGGGTTAAGTATAGATTTGTGGATAAAATAACTCATTAAAGTAAAATAATTCAGACTGCATGTTAAAACCTGTGGATGTGTTTGCACTATACTACATGTGGTGATACAAATATAAGTGTCAGCCTTTATTAAATAGAAAATAGGGGCAAAGTATTAAACGTAGTAAATGCCACAAGAAAGGTTCAAAGTGCTTCTCTATACAAGATAAAATCATTATACTCCTTACTATCATCCACACATGAAAGCAGGAGTATACTTAAGTTTTCTCTGAATTGTTAGTGTCTGGAAAAGTTCACACATTGAGAATTCATGGTAAGAAATCCTCCATTGTATTGGTGAAGGAACCCTTAGTAATATGTCCTTTTAGAGTGGGTTGCCTTTGGTAGTRTATCACATTACCTTGAAACATGCAAAGTGTTTTAATATTTGAGAATTTCTGAAAAATCTTAATAATATTTCAGATAATTTAAGAGGATCTACCTCCTTTTAAACCATTGTATTTGGAAAATAAGAAAAGGGAAATTAATTATTCAAGCCTATCTTATATGTCTTTTATCAATAGTTTACTTTTATGTAGTACTTAAAAGTTTTTGTTAGCTTTACCTATTAAAAATCTTAATTTACATTTCTTTATTTTCATTGTTCTCTGTTGCCTGCTAAGCTGCCAAATGGTGTCACTTACCACACTGGGACATACCAAGACCGGTTAACAAAGCTACAGGATCATCTTCGCCAACTTTCCATTCTCTTCAGGAAGCTGAGATTGGTTTACGACAAATGCAATGAAAACTGTGGGGGAATGGATCCCATTCCAGTAGAGGTAATTTTTTGTGATTTGGGCATGAATATATGAGATGTAAGATAGTATCGGGACATTTGTAGTTTGGTTTTTTTTTTCCTCTCTCTCCTTTTCAGCAATATTTTCAGATTTTGAATTTTTATTGGTTTCCCTTTTAACCAGAGAAGATGAAAATATCATATATATATATATATATATATATATATAGAGAGAGAGAGAGAGAGAGAGAGAGAGAGAGAGAGAGTGTGTGTGTGTGTTACTGCTGTATATTCACATTAATAATTTCTTCTAGACTTAACTTCAAGGCTGCTTGTGGCTTTTGTTGGTGGCATTAGGAGGAAAGGGCTGTCTGTGACAATTTTTGTCGTGGTTCTCAGCATCTCCTTTTATTTAAATCAATGCATGATTTTTTTAAGTAAGAGTTTTAATAGTGTTATAAAATACCTTTAAAATGGTTTTCATGAAAGTTTTTTACAGTTAAAAGATTTTTAATCAGTATTAATTTAGGTTTGATTTGTAGTCAGGTAGAATCACTCTGTTTGAAACATATTTTCTAAATTTAGTCTTGGGTTACAGATATATCTAGTTAACTAGGTGTGTCATATTTCTCTAAGTAGCATTTTCCTGTTGACATATCTTTGTCACCTAAGGTAGCTGGGAAGCTTAGATTCTCTCTCACTACCTGTAAAGGACAATTTTATGGAATCTGCTTTCTTTTTGAGTGATCAGCATGTAAGAGATGAACAGAGAAAGAGTTAAATGCAAAACAGCCTAAAAAAGAAGCAGTCAAAGATGTGAGAGGAAGATCAGGAATGTGGTTGACATTGTCAGATGTTCCAGAGGTTGAGGAAAATTAGAAATGAAAACTTTCCCCTGGGTTTTGCTAGCTGAAAATCATTGGTACATTTGAGTAGGTGAGCTTTGGAGAAACATGTAGCATGAAGTTAGATCACAGTGGTTTGAAGATTAAACAGGAAGTAAAGAGCTGGAGCCAGCAATTAGAGAAGCATACATACATAAGAGAGAAAAGAAGTAGATGGAAGGAAAGATGGAAGCGAGAGTTTGGGGAGTTTTTGCTCTCAAAATGGAAAAGATTGGAACATGTTTAGATGATAAAGTAGGAAAAGTGTAGGGAGAGACTGAAGGAAGAGGAATGAGTGAAGACAGGGCAGAAGAATCAGCACAGACTGCATACACATTAATTATCTGAAGAAGGAAGGACAGCTCTGTATTAGAGGAAAGGAACAAATAGTGAATGTAGATATGGGTAAGTTTGTATTTGTCCCAAGAACAGGAAGAAGTTTGGAGAGGCAGCTACCACTTTGACCAATTATATTCTTCTGGCCTGTTCCCACATACAGTACCAGATGGCGGAAGCTGTTAATTCTTTAATTCTGTCACATTTACATGGGGCTTCTTTAGTGAACTTCATCACAAACCACACATGTTTAATTATAATTCTGCTATTAGTTTCACTGATTTGTAAATTTGACCTACCAAAAAGAGATTCTTGACAATGAAAAGAAGTTAAGACATCTAAAAATTTGCATGCATACTGAAGTTTCAGATGGCATGTTAATGACATTTATATAATAATGTAATCCATGCAGTTCTTTCCTTCTAGTATAGAGGAAGGAAAGAGCCCATCTTATTTATATCAAACTGTAACTCACAAATCTTACTTGACTTTAGTTTTGCAGTGTCTTATCCGGTGTCTGCCAATTAAATATTTGTTGATTGAATGAGTAAGATATTATTTAATTATATGTGACAACCAGTGTTATAAAGGCCTTTTGCAAAAGAAACACAAAGGGTAATATATAGAATGCATCAAAATGATAAACTTCTAAAACTGCTATTTCAGGTAATTGTCAGAATTGAAATTTATTTTTAAACTACTAAAAGTATGAAAATTGGCATTAATCTGATACATCCTCTATACCAGTCTAATTGGACAATTCAGGTCACATTTTTAATTTTTAACTTTTGTTCCTCACTCTTTAGCAACTTATTCCATATGTGGAAGAAGAAGGCTCAAAGAATGATGATCGGGCTGGCCTGCCACGTTTTGCTAGTGAAGAGAGACGAGAGATTGCTGAAGTAAATAAAGTGAGTTATTCATCTGTATGTTTTACATTTCAGAATTCTTGATTAAAAAAATACTAACAAGTCCATTGTAACTCAAAACATAATTTAAATTGTAGAATTACATAAAATTGTTTTTGTGGCAGACTCATCCTATTTAGAATGAAGTCAAGAACTAAGGTAAGCAGAAATGTCTGAAGAGACACAAAATTCATTCAATAAAATTCTTAAAGAACCCCGAAGGTCTCCATGACAACCCATTTACTTTTCTCTTTTCTAAGCCCAAGTCTACCTTGCTTTGTATGACATATTTTGAGCAGCAAATGATAAAAATTTACAAATAGGAAATGTGAATGTCTCAATGCCGGAATAAGAAAGTGAGAATTAGCAAAGCATTAATCTGTTGCCCCCCAAAAGTTCCTGACTGGAATGCATTTATTGCCCAATACTTTTAAAAGTTCAGAAGACAGTGTTCAGATAGTTCTCATGCAACACACAGAACAATAGGGAGAGTTGTCAGTTCATTCTGTGGAAATGTGGCCTAAACTTACCAAAACCTAACAGAAGTTACACAGTGAATAGAACTACCAACCTCCCTCTTTCACTTGTAAATTCAGCTCACTTCTCCGACATTCTGTATTCTGGTTAGTAGGATACATCAGTGTATTAACAATACATCTTAACTAAAAATGATTTTCTGAGGTTCATAAGCATAATTTCAATGTATACATGTAATATGTAATGTCAGTAGATTACACTGAAAAATATTTTCTCAGGTGTCTGAAAGACATTTGATAGAAATCAATACCAGTTGCTAATCCAAGGAACACTGAAAAAAATTAGCAGTATAGTTTCTTTTTTCATCTGTTAATTTCAGATAAATAGCCAACATTTTTTATACAGGTGAAATAAAGAAGTATATTCCTACCAAAAATTGGCATAAAATAAGTTGCTGTATACACTAATGTTTAACATTATTTTTGAAGTTATAGGCAGTACAAAAAGACAATAAACAAATGTTAGGACATAAGAGTTGTAATATTATTTACAGGCTTATTAAAATGCTCAAAGAAATTCATTTGATAAATGACTAGAGTCTGTAAAAGTTCCATAAAATGGCTTAATACGAGATTGACACCAGGCTCTTATAATGCTGTAAACCAATTAGATTATAAGGTTTTGTTCACAATTACAAGAAATATTGAGTAGATAGGGATTACATCAATAATATGTGTGACAAACCTTACTTGATACATAAATGCATTTAAGTAATTAAAAAGCCTAGAGAATTCTGAGGAGGGCAGTGGGTATTATAAAAATTCCAACATTGATCATTTCATTGTTTGATTAACAAACTATGAAGGCAGTAACAGTCCAGATCCAAACAGTACTTTTATCAAAATCATGCAGAAGTAGGAATTTATTTTAGTGCAGTGCCAATCAAGAAATAAATCCCAAAAAAATCCAAATGAGATTTTTTTTTCTTGAAAGTAAAATTTCTACAAGAAAATTCTGATGAAAACAATAAAGTAGAATACTTTAAAAATTAAAATGTAATATGAAGATATTATAAAGATAGTAGTTAAGCATGTAATGCTGGTATAAGTGCAGACAGATTAGTAAAATAATAGCCAAAAAATAGCCTTCCCATTGACTATGACAGAAGGAAGATTGTATAGAAAATCCATCTTAAAAATAGGAAAGGAGAAACTAAACTAAACTAAACTACCTTTTACATTATATATACCATGTATCAAAATGAATTTCAGAGTTGAAAATAACATCTTCATGATAAAATATTAGACAATTAAAAGAAATATGTATTTCAAAACTTGGGAGAAAGGAAAACTTGGACTTTATGTCATAAAGTATAGTAGCTTTGTTTTAAAAGGTGAAATGCAGCTTAAGAAGAGTATTTCCCACAAATATGATAGTAGTCATGACAATTACAACAAAGAACTCACAGAAGGAGATTGGTTAAAAATGAAAAGGGGACTAGGAACTTTTAATTTTAGAACTTGAAAAATACATGGTGCTGGGCTGGGATTATAGCTCAGTTGGTAGAGTGTTTGCCTCGCATGCACAAGGCCCTGGGTTCAATCCCCAGCACCACAAAAAAAAAAAAAAAGATAGTGTTTGCTACCCTAAAGATGTGAGACATTTATTTGTTAAGAAGTGACATATTTCCATTAATAATATGTGTATTTTTTACTGCCTCTGCTCTCCTGAGCTCACCGATTCCAGCTATTGTGCTTCCCTTTGCAGGAGGCCTCCTGTTCCTATGAGGGCAGGACGGGAGAAGGTTCACAGCCACCTGGTGACCAGGAGGGCAAGTTTGTGAGGCGCCTCGGGCTCTTCTAGTGGTACACCTCTGTGAGCCCCACCCCCAGTTATCATGCTCAGGCCACCTGGGTGCCCTTGACATGGTCCTTGTCCCTCCTTCTCAGGGGTGGTTCAGCCCTATTCTCAGTGGCAGATTCCTGCACCCTTTGGGTTGTAGACTCCTCCTCTCTGCCAAGTCTTTGACTCCCCCTTCTTTTCTATTTGTCCTAAACTTTACCTTCTTGCATCTGCTGCTCTTTCGTCTCTAGTAACTTTTCTCCCTATGAGTGTCTGGCTTTTTTTTCCCTCCACTCTGCTATTTTCATTAGGGCTTTGAAAAAAAAGAAGAGATACATATGTGTATCTTGACCACAAAATTTTTCTGGGTCAAGTGTTTTTTCAATACACCAAAAAAATACGCAGCATTTCAATAGATAGCCAGCATTTCTGAAGTTTATTTATGTAATAAAATTCAGTATTCCAAATGTTATTTTCCCATATAATTCAGATGTTAAACCAGGTTCTGCTTTAACTTCAGGAAACACTTTTTGTTATATTATTCAATTGCTGTTACAATGAGGAAAGAATGAATTTAGATATTTTGAATTAATCAGATTAAAATCCACACTCTGAATTTCTAAGGCAATTGTTTTTTAAAAGAAAACTTAGGGGGAGAGTATCTTGTCTTGAGGAGCATGGGTAAGTGCCCATCCACTGGCCTCAAAGCACTCTTGTACTTGCTGTTTCTTCTTATTTCTGTATTTTGAGAAAGCAGTGAAGAATTAGATGGTGGGCAGAGGTGAAAGTTGGGACACAGCTAAGATCACTTAAACTTCAGTCCCCAAAAAAGCAGAAAGAAAGTAAACTACTGAAAAGCAACTTAATACCAATAATTCATGCAATTCTTTTCCTCCAACTTCTTTACACCTTGTGTCTCCCTTCTAAAATATAGGGTTAAAATATATTATCAACATTTTTTAAGATATGGAGCTCTTGATTTATTGATACATGTATTTTTTCTTCAGTGGCACTCGTACCTGAGAGTGTTTATGTGAAAACTATGTTTATTTAAGTAGCTGCCTTTGGATGACAGATTTCTTAATTTAATTGTTTAACCACATGGATGCTCTTAAAAATAAAAGGTTTTAATTTAATTTGTCAAGTATTATTAAATATCTGTATTCATAAATTTTTGTCATTTCTATGTTAATCAAAGTACATTCTTATTATGAACTTAAAGGTTTGCTTTTTTGTTCATATACTTAGTAGGTACTAGAGTTTTAAAGTTTACAGAATTTTGCTAGTGTTTTCATCAGCTTTCTGTTACTATAGCAAATATAGGAAATAAATCAGCTTCAAAGGAAACGTTTATTTTTTGGCTGACAGTTTTGCAGCTTTCAGGCCATGACTAATTGCCCCCATTGCTTTGGGACTGCCTGTAGTGGCAAAATACATCATGGAGCATGTGTTGTAGTACACACATTACCTCTTAACAAGGTAGGAAAGAGGCAGAGAGGAGGAGACCAGAATCCCACAGTCCCCTTCAAGGGCTCGCCCCTCCCAGTTACCCAAAACTTCACCACCCTCCACCTTCATCGCCTAGCTAAGGGTTAGGGACCAAGCCTTTAAGAATTGGGCCTTTAAGAGACACTTATCCATACCACTGCAGCTATCTACACTGAAGCATCCAAAATACTTCTTGCCTACTTTGGTGTGGAGTATAAAAATGAAGAATTTTTAATAATAACCATCTATTTTTTTTAATACCAAGTGGCAAAATTAAACAACAACAAAAAGAAGTTTAGAAATGATTGCCAAGGATTTTTGTTTTCTTGTTTTTTAACATTTTTCTAGATTTGGGGGAAGCTTTATATTTTGCTCTTTGTTTGAATATTCAAATATTAAAGTGTATGAGTGCTTTTTGTGTACAGGCATTCTCCCAAGTATCAGAATTTCTACCATGAAGGAGCCTGAAGTGTTGTCTGCCCTCAAGCATGGTTCAGATGAAAGGACAGGTTTCTGTGAACCTAAGGCTCTCTAATGGAAAGCAGCCCCTGTTTCATGTACTCATGTCATGTTTTGATGGATCTTTGTAGAAACATCAGTATCGCACCATATTTTTAATATATTGGCATTTACTTATATTAAATAACTAAGTTGCTTTATACATCTATGATCAGTAATAGAATTGTTTCTCATATTCAATTAAATATCTTCAGTTTTATTGTAATGCATATTTTTTATTCTGAAAAAAATAAATATATTTATACTCCGTATTTCATCCACAATTGGTCATTTTCAATATTGCTRTATCATCTACACGAAGTTGTACAGAACAGACTAGATGTGTGTCCTGTCTGGTTTCTAACAATGTATGTTAGCTACTATAGCACCTGAAACTTTGAGGCCCACTGTTGATGAATATAAATCATCAGATAACAAAATGGCCTGGTTTTATTCACTTTTTTGGTTTAAATACTTTTCATTTTTTCTTTATATATCCTGGAATCTGTAAGCCCTGATGCCCAAGTAAAGGATGAATTCTTGTTTCAGAGTTTATGCTTGAGGGACATCAAAATATGTTTTATTTTGCTTAAGGCTATTCTGTTAATGGTAAAATAAAATTGAAAGAGATAGCAGGCAGCRTTTACAGGGTTGACATATAATTGAGTCCAGGCATTTAGAAATTAAAGCATTTTGGGTCAAGTGTCACATCCTTTGTATGAATATTAAATTACATGGTATGACTTAGCRTAAACATATTCTGTAAGTATCTACTCTGCTTACACATTCACCTGTTAATGTAACAAATTAGGCACAGCTGATGGATTTTGAAAATAGCAGCTGTCAACCTCTGTTAAAATCAATCAGTRGCAAGATTGTATATATTAAAYCCTATATCATGTCATGAAAATTTATTTACAATTTAACCACTAATAAGCATAACTGTCAGCTCTGTGTTGATAGTTTCATGACGTGTTTTGACTCTAGATATTTTACTTGTATGCTAATTTTTTAATTTGAAACTTTATGGCATCTTTGAAAAAAACTATCCAAGTACTTTATATCATACTTTAAAAAAATCTTTTACTACTGCTTAGACTTCAATATTAATTTGAAAATACTCTTACTTAATTTTTTAGGAATTAATGAGGTGTTAAAAAGAAAATAAACCAGTATATTAGAATTTATATTTCCAAGTGAATTTTCTTGAAAGTAGTCTTATTGGTAGACTTTACATTTATTCCAATAATGGTATCATCAGCAAACCCTGTTCTGATACTGGTATACATTCTGTTTTTAACCATCCAAGAATATAATTTTATTAATTCTAGTTCCTATTGTCTTTTTTTTTCTTTGTTTGTTTGGTACTGGATATGGAACTTAGGAACACTCAACCATTGAGCCACATCCCCAGCCCTATTTTATATTTTATTTAGAAAAAGTCTCACTGAGTTGCTTAGCACCTTGCTGTTGCTGAGGCTGGCTTTGAACTCGTGATTCTCCTGTCTCAGACTCCAAAGACGTTGGGATTACAGGCGTGTGCCACTGCGCCCTGCTAGTTTTAGTTACTTTCTGAATATTCAGTCACTGAGCTTATTTACCAGACTGGGCCTTTGAATGGATTTTAACTGTGTCCAACACATAAAACCCTCCTCTTTCTCCATTGTCATGGGCACAGTTTGGTCCAAGGTATTTTGGAGAATCCATTCCACTAGAGGTTAATCTTTTCATTGCAGTTTAATCATTTCTCTTGTCTTTCAAGAATTTTAATGGGTCCCATTACCTACTGCCAAGCCCAAATGTATCCTCCTGCAGTCTTGGCTCACCACTAACTCTTCTAGACCCCGAACAAAAGTATTTTTCCTGTTTGCTGACCTTTTCAATCAGGCAGTGCCATATCTTTTAGAGTTCCAGAGCATCTGATATTTTTCCTCTGCCATCCACCTTACCAGGTTATAGTCTAAGCATTTGGTCACTATGCTTAAACTTCCTCCTACTTGATGCTGAAGTTCTGAAACTTTCAAAAGTGATTATATTCAAGATCATTCAGAACTTAATAATTCAAATAAGTTTTTTAGAAATCAACTTACATTCTCTTCCTTTTATTCTTACTCAGTAGCTCTTGTCTTCATCTGTCACATGCCTCTGTAACCACTTGTCCTCTTATGTGTGGGTGTACAGAAAATACAGGTGGCAGGAACCTTAGATTCTATAGTCCCCTTTTATTGATGAGATTGCTGAGAAGAAATTTATCTGAGATCACATAGCAAGGTAGAGGCAGAGTTAGAACTGGGACTGGGATTGCCAGTCTCTCAATACAGCACCTTTGTTCTTTGGTTTCTCTGTGGTACTTCTACCCTTGGTGGATGCAACTGTCTCTAGGATGAAAAAGACTTTATAAACTTGGCCATTCCTCGTCTGTCCCCTAATCTGGGTCAACTTTACTTGATAGTATATACACTGCTTCAATAACTGACTTCCAAATAGTTGGGATGATACAGCTTGGAAGATGGGTCATCTGAAAACTGAGTGAAGAGACTGAGTAGCTAAAAGTACCAAGTTTCTCTTCCTAAAGGCCATGTTAAAAGTGAGGCTCAGAGTCAAACCCATGTTCTGTATGGTCAGATGTGTTAGGACTGTGCTGTGCTAATTCTTTTAAATATGAATTAAATTTAACATTATTAAAGATTATTAAAATCTCTGTGAATTCTTTTTCTTTTTTCTAGTAGTACTTTTTTTTGTCTTCCCTTTTAACCATTTCATTCCTGTAACTTCTCTAACTCTGGATAGAAGTAATATAAGCAATTTAACTTGCATATATTAAATTTTAGTTTTTTGTTTTGAGATGCTAAGGATCAAACCCAGGCCCTTATGCATGTCAGGCAAGTACTCTACTGCTGAGTCACATCCCCTCACATCCCCAGCCCTTAGTTTGCCTTTTTTTTCCCCCCAGTTTAATGTTTTTATATATATATATATATATATATATATATATATATATAAATGTATGTATAATAAATCAAAATATATTCCTGTCATATACTGTCATATATATACAACCATATATTTTGATATATTATACATGGAATATAACTCATTCTAATTAGAATCCAGTTCTTGTAATTGTACATGATGTAAAGTGTCACTGGTTTTGTATTTATATATGAACACAGGAAGCTATGTTAGTTTGCTTTTTAATGAAATCAAAACTGAGATTTTTTTAGACCTTTTGTGATGGATATATACTAGATTACTTGGAGGTAGTTTAATATATCTTTAAAATAAACTAATTAAATAATATATCTCCAAATGTAATGTTTCCAAAAGGTTATTGAATAATAATGATTGTTGTTACAATAACTAGTAAACACTAACTAGAAGCTCCTTATTATTTTCTTCTTTTACCTAAGCAAATATTTACCACATAGGACTTGAAGAATGTTTAAAATGAAGTGTATAGACTCTAATCTAGTAGAACCCAAGAATAGACACCTGCCGCATGTGGTCTAGGCCTGCAGCAGATCTTAGTTGTGAAGATCATTGCACTTAACTCTGTGCCATTCTGTCTTTGTTTTCAGAATTGGAAGTAGATTGCACTCCATGCTATGGGCAAACAGTTACTTCTCCCACATTTTTGAAAGACCAGTTGCATCAGGCATTCTATTTTTAATTATAGTTTTATATTGATGGTTTACATTTTGTTCCTATCACTAACATTTGTTGAATGCTTACTTACATGCCAGGCAGTTCTGACGTTTTACATGAATCAGATCATTTAATCTTCTTAACAACTCCTATGAGATAGGTTCAGTTATTACCTTCATTTTTCTGATGTGAAAATAATTTTGGACAATGTCATCCATTTAATTAGGGAAGCAACTGAGTGTCTCAACACTCAGGAAATCTGGCTCAAGTGGGTGTTCTCTACCGTGATGTTCCACTGCCCCTTAGAGAATCTAAGTACTTAGTTTTATAACAATTGAATACTTAGCTTATTTTCTTTGACGGTGGAGGTGGAAGAATAAATAGAGTTGGGGACTGGAGCTGAATTAGAATTCAAGATGCCTATCAGGGAAGATCTGGGGGCAGGAAAAGGTTGAGACCCGCCTTGTAGGAGGCTTAAGCTTAACTTCTGTCTGGATTGTTAGAGTCCTAGCTTACGACATTTTAATCTTCTGACTTCATGGTCTATATTTCATGAAACATTCTTGATAAATTCTTTTTGTTTTCACAGAAACTCAAACAGAAGAATCAACAGCTGAAGCAAATTATGGATCAATTACGAAATCTCATCTGGGATATAAATGCCATGCTGGCGATGAGGAACTAAACTGATATTTAAATTTCCTGCTCTACACATATTATGCTGTTGGTTTTTTTCCCTTAAATATATTTTCCCTTTGAAAAAGATTATTTATCTACTTTAATTTTAGTTACTAGAACTAAAGTTCCTATATTTACATTGTGGCTTTACTGTCTTCATTAACTTTTTTTTTTTAATGCTGTTGATTCAATGAAAGAGTATTATAATAAACTGTGATAGGGCTTGAGCTTTGGTTAGTCTTCATGATTGAATGATTGTTTATAAAAGCAAAATAAAGTTTTATATATATTTTTAAATTTGACCGATGGTCATACTCATTTCAGTTACCCTTTTAGAGTTTATATCTATCGTCTGTATAGAACATCTCTACCATGGAGTAGTAACTAATGAGGCTGCAGTACTGTAGAGCCATAGCCCCACATTTTGGGAGGGTGTTCACTCAGAGTTGATGCCAGTTTACCCAGTCACTCACAGGCCTACTTGAGACCAATTATGAATGTGGTAGGGGTTATTAAACACACAGACCCCACTAACCCTCCAAATTTCAACTTTCTCTTTAGTGTATGGCAGTAGGTTGAAAAAGGTAAAATCCATTGTAACGTGCTTTTAGGCAAGCTAATCTCATTGTAAAATGATATATTCTTATTTCATCACATTCTGGCTTCAAATTTTGGTTGCAGATGTTAGACACTAAGTTCAATATAGATTAAGCCAAAAAGGGGATTTATTCCTGCAGCAAAAAAAAAAAAAAAAAAAAAAGCAAAGATGTTAGAGAAGAGCTTCATAGAATCAAAGAAATTTGTGGGAACCAAGGCTTCAAAAATTAAAGCCAAGATTTAATGCCTCCAAGATTTTCTAAATCTTCTACTTTCTTCTTGTTTCTGGTGCCCTATTTCTTTTCACTGAAGACAGATTTTCTTAAAATGGCAGGAAAGATGCTCTCCACTGTCTTACCTTGATATCTTTTCTGTATCCTGATCATAAAGGATGAGCTGCTTCTTCCCCTGTAAATTAAGAAATTCTCTAATGGACTCTAAAAATATTGGGTAATATAACCAACCAATGGGCCAATTATGTAAATTGGCACTATGATTAAACTAACTTAGGTAAGAAATGCATTCTTGTGGCCAGGATTGACTGTGGGAGACATGGAAGATTGTACCCGATAGGGAGCAAACTTTAGAAATAAGAAAAAGGACCAACAAGGAGAGTTTTCAAGTAAAACAATGGCAACCATGGTCTGCTGATGTTCTTCATTTGTATATAATGCTATCTTAAATATAATTCCAGTTATTCAAACTTCAAAAGCCAAAAAGCATTTGCAGAAAACCAAATGCATCTTTCACTATTATGGGAGAAATTACTGGTCTTAATTTTAATTTTTTCTTTCTGAATTTGTGGGCTTCTGTGTTAGCATTTGTCTTTGCAGCTGTTTCTTTGCAGCTGCTTCAATTAATTGCTGCGTGATTTTGTCAGGTCTTGGTTAGCCTGGGGTAAAGCATGTAGGAAAAGGCTAAGAAAAAAATAAAAGGAAAGCTCCAGCATTCTGGTAAGGACATTATCTTTAAAATGATTTGGCAATCTATGGCCTTGATCATTCAGACGTTAGATCCCTTGGCACCATTACACACCAAAACCTGTTAACTTGACATTTTGATGTAGTTCCAGCTTGAGTAATCCGTTTTTCTTTCTCTAAATTCCCACTGAAGTTTAAGCTAGACAGACGAGTTTTCCAGCCCTAGACTAAAATATGTGCTTGTCCTAAAGTTTCAAGTGTTTGTTATTCTGAGTGTCCTTAAATTTGTCTAACATTACTGGATGCCTTGAATTTTTGTCTAATCCTTTAAAACAGCAGGGCATCACGAACTGATTTTTTAAGCATAAATGGAAAGAATAAGAGGTCATTTTTTTTTTTACATCTGGTAGTCTCCAATTTTTTCTCATCTTTTTAAAATTAAAACATTAGATTTATTTTAAAGTTTATATTTTTACATAAAATTGATATTATATTCTGATGCAAGAGTAAAACTGTCTTCCAAAAGTTCTTACTGTTGCCAATACGTAATTTGCACTCCAAAAACTATTAGAAAATCAACAGATATTATAAATCTGTTTTTCTCTGTGTTTTTAAGATATTTATTATTCTTCCTCTGAGAGCATCACAAGACCACCAAATGGCATGCTCTTTGTTAGAACTGCCTAAACTGTTTTAACTTTTGTGGATATCTTCCTAAGGCTATCTCTTCAATTTTAACATGCAAAGAATCACTTGGGTATATTTTTTAAATGCACAATTTTTAATATACTACAAATATATGGAATCAATCTCTAAAATGGAGGTCTAAAAATCTGCATATTTAACCAGTTTTTTAGGTAATCTGTTACTGGAACTGAAAAGTATTGCCCTCAACAGTTCAGTGAGAGTTTTAAGTACTGTAATAGGAAAGAACCTCGAAAATAGCAGTAGTGATATAAAATTAAACCCATATTCAGGCATTTTGAGTAGTTAAAAATTATATTCCATGTCAACAGTTCTCAACCATTCTTCCACAATAGAATCAACTGGGGAAATGTCAAAATTCCCTATGCCAAAGAAATACCCCAGATCAATTAAATCAGCATTCCATTCAGGCTTAAGGTGTTAAGGGTATCTTGGTGATTCCAACGTGAAGCCAAGTTAAGACCCATTGATCTGTACAGATTTATATGCATGAAAAGAATCTTGAGCTGGGTGCAGTGGCACACCCCTGTAATCCCAGCGGCTCAGAGATGGGAGGATCTCSAGTTCAAAGCCTGCCTCAGCAAAAGCAAGGTGCTAAGTAACTCATTGAGACCCTGTCTCTAAGTAAAATACAAAATAGTGTTGGGGATGTGGCTCAGTGATTGAGTGCCCCTGACTTCAATCCTTGGAACCCATCTGCAAAAAAAAAAAAAAAAAATCTTGAGGGATTTTTTTTTTTCCAGTCATAAATATTTGGAGCAAAGAACTTACAGAGAGCAGGAATTTAAAACTCATTTATTCGTACAATTGTATTGTTTTAAAGGATGTTCTTGGATGTCAGAGCAAAGAATCCTCACTCTTGTCCTCCATAAATGTACCACTACTGAAAACAGAAAATAGTTTTCAAAACGGGGGGGGGGGGAGGGTGCAGTCATTTGTGAATCCACAGTACCTAAAATCTGCAGATGGCATAGCTAACAAATAAATCAATTGAAGAATGCAAAGTGTGAACAGCAACAACAACATAATTGTGAATTAAAACCATGCAAACTTTAACTGTAAGCTGACTCTTACAGTGAGTAAATTTTATAGGCAGAGGGAATGAAAGGAATCATTGCTTGGTCTTCCATTCAGGGCATTCCAGAGGTCTAGTGAAACCAAAAGGAAGATAACATTTTTCTGTTCCTGGTCCCAGGCTGAACATGGCCATATCTTGTTTTAGAAGTATACCTAACCTGGACTTATAATTTACTCATTGAACAATCATTCAGTGATTACTTACAGATTCCAGGCAGTAAGCTAGGAACTGGGCAGACCACGATGGTAACCTTCACTCATGGTTATGGAATATAAGCCAGAAGACAGCCCTTTGTGAACACAGGCTCTAGGATTTGGGACTTCACATTCACAAATCAGGTGCTCATCAAGCAACCCAAAGAACCTATGATCTGCTTTTATTCCATTGAAACTTAGGTTTTCATGGTGTCTGTGGACTAGGTAACAGAGCTCAGTTTAGAGGTCTCCTGCCCAATGGAACATCATGCAAATATTCTCTGGTTAAAAAGTTATTGTTGTATTTACCCAAACCTGTAACAATCTAACTTAGGATAAAGATCCAAGAAGGCAATGCTATAAAAAATGTTCTATTCCGGAACATGAGAATATAGCACATCCTTAATTGCAATAAGGTGAGGGAAAATAGTCTTCAAAACACATTTGGGGGGGAGGGTGCAGTCATTTGTGAATGTGCCGTACCTAAAATCTGCAGATGGCATAGCTAACAAATAAATCAATTAAAGAATGCAAAGTGTGAACAGCAACATAAATGTGAATTAAAACCATACAAACTTCAAGTTATGTATGAAGTAAGTATTTTAACCACTGGCACTAAAATTTTAAATTGAATTCTCTGATGAAACAGAAAGCTGGCATAATTGCCTGAATAAAGGGTGSTTTGAGAATTACAGCTGGTCGGGGAGAAAAATAAATGTGTCTCTGTGCTTTGAATAGACAGTAAAAGCATGACAGATGAATAGAAAGGGCTTGCCAAGGTACCAACAATAGTCCAGGTGAGAAATAACTACAGCACAAAACACCGTCTCCGTGGCAGAACCTGAATTAGGTAGTAGCAAGATTTTCTCCCATGAAGCCCATCTTGGTGGATTCCTATGTGAGGCTTATTCTTGACAAGCCCTACAAGGTTGTAGCTCTGCAGACTCTTGGCCTGATGAGGTCAGAGTTTGTGGTAGCTCCTGGAACTGCTAGCTTCTGCTTTGAGCATTTCTTTTTTTCCTGGACCGACAAAAGAATTTGGTAATAAGTATTCCATACCAGTACCAGGTTATTTCTTTACTTGTTCAAAATACTTCCTGTATTTGTGGGGGAGGGGAGAGGATCGGGTTGAGGGTGGGGAGAGATGCCATGTGACACGGTGTGGAGATGAGGTGTCCTACAAAAGCTCATGTGTGAGACGATACAAGAATTTTCAGAGGTTCAATAACTGGGTTATGAGAACCTTGGCCTATTCAGTGCCTTATTCCATTAATATGGATTAATCAGGTGGTAACTGCAGACAGGCAGGGTGTGGCTGGAGGAGGTGACCCACCTGGGGTGTGTGACTTTGGGGTTTATATTTTGTCCCTGGTAAGTGGAGCTCTCTCTCTCTGCTTCCTGATGGCCATATTCTGAGCTGCTTTCCTCTGTCATGCTTTTCCACCATGATGTTCTGCCTCACCTCAGGACCAGAGCTAGAGAGTCAGCCATCTTTTCTTCTAATAGTTCCTGTCAGGTCTTTTAGTCACAGCGACACAAAGCTGATTACAAAGCCATGTCAGTTCACAGAGGGCTCTTGCCCTCTCCCACAGCTGAGCCCTGAGGAGTGGGTCGGAGTGTGGGCTTTGGACTTCAATATGTACCTGGATCCCAGTTCTGCTGCTTGCCAGCCCTCCCTTGGGCAAAGTTTTCAACTTGCTTATGCCTCAATTTTCTTCTGAAAAAGGAACCAATAGTATGTCTTCAACAGGTTTTGTTTTCAAGTAGCTCCCAYAAAAGCTTATATTGGCAAGAA